TGAACAGTGCATCCAATTTGGCTCTCACATCCAATCTATAATGGTTCACAGAAGTCACAGGTTGTAGCTTCACAAATGTCCTGTAACTGAACCCCTTTCAAAAAGGCAGTCGAATGTCCCTTTAAGCTAGTAGACAAAGGACATTTGGCTAGTTTGTATAACAATGAGATTGCTTTTACTACCCATTTAGACATTTGTTCACTTTTTTTTTGTTTCCTTGATAACAAATGAACAGTTTATTGCTCTTTCTGAAAGAACTTTTTCTATCAACCTAAAATGCAAGAATACTTCCACCCTCTACTGTGTGCAGTGTTTAATCCATGGCAGACACAGGAGTTGGAAAGAACAAAACTAAAATTCATGAAAAGGTTTATATAAAGACTTGAAACTACTTTAGGTAAGAAAGAAATGTCTGTAAACGATATCACATCCTTATGAAATTTGTCACATTGCAGTGCAAATAATTCACTTGCACACATAGCCAAAGTTATGGCTACCAGAAAAGCAACCTCATAGGATAGAAAACTCAAATGAGGTGAAGCTATAGGTTCAAATGGAAGTTTTCAGCTGGATCAAAACCATTGACAAGGACCGCTGTGGTGATGGTGGTTTTCTATCTGGATAAGTATTATTCAAACCTTTCAGAAATCTTTTAACTACTGCACTTTTAAAAAGGACTCTCCTTTATAATCCACAAGGTCGGTTACAGCTCTGAAGTTCAAAGGTGGTGATGATGATGAAACTAGGATCCATTGGTTGCTATGATAAAATGGCAGACAAAACTTAACAGAAGATTGTGAAAGACCTCTTTTTAAGGCTCAATAAAAAGCATAGTACACAGTACAAAGACACTTGGAAGTACAGTATGTCTCAATAGATTTTGCAAATGCCTTAAATTTCCTCCATTTACAATAATAGTATTTTCTTTCTAGACTACCTAAGAATCCTGGCTAACATAGGAGAATTCTCCATGTTGTCAATTTTAGTATCTCCATGTCTTGGTGACAAATCTGCCTGTTGTGACATCTCAGTGAGTCTGACGTGAAGGACTCTTTAGAAGTAAAGAGTCATGAACTACAGCTTTCATGGCCACCCAGGAGTCAGCAGAATGGTGACTGTGTAATCCTGTTTGATTTTCACAATACAGTAGTCTTGATGAATCAATGGGAAAGGAGGAACATGTATACCAGTGCATCCAACCAAGTTTGTGCAAATGCGTTTCCCATCAAATTGTGTCCATTGCCCGCCCAAGAACAGTACATTTAACATTTTTTGTTCTCTTTGATAGTATGTCTATTTGTGGCAAGCCCACTTCAGTGTTATATGTCTGTAAACTTTGTCCAACAGCTCCCATTCATGAGTTGTATTGATTGATTGACTGATTGATTGATTGATTGATTGACTGGATTTGGTCCCACCCACCTAGACCAAAGGTCTACTCTGGGAGTCTGCATTTTATTCCTGCAATGCAATTGTATTTGTTAGAAATATGTATCAAAACAAGGTAAATATGCCTCTCAATACACCACTCCTACAAGTAGTCTGTTAGTAGTAGAATGGTTATAGAATGGGTTTCACCCTGTTTGTTCATATAATACATAGTGGAAGTATTGTCCATTATCACCTGTACAACTTTCCCCATCACAATGTGTTTGAAAGCTCTTAAAACCTTGATGATTGCGAGTGTTTCTAGTTGATTTATATGATGCTTTCTCTCCCGAGGAGACCAAAGTGCATGTGTCTGATGTTAAACTAGCAGCTGTTGTTCTTGCTGCTGATGACTGTGGAATTTTGAAGGGCATGCCCATTTCTTGCTGCCATGTCAATTGAATTGCCAGCCCTTAGGTTACTTGAAGCTTTTTGTGAGCATTGCTGTTCATACTGTTGTAAAGGGCCGGGGACCATGATGGCAGAGGTTTCATCCTGTGCCTTGCATGTGCTACTAATGCAGTGGTGGGTGCCATCAAGCTCAACAATATCTGTACTGCATGTGCTGTAAGCCTCCTGTTTGGCTGGAATCTCAAAGCAAGTAAAATAATTTTGTTCACTCATTCTTAAGGAATATAAGCCCTTCCTTTGTTTGAGTACACAATGGCATCCATGTATTATGAATTGTTTTTGGAGTTTACAGGTTTGAGTTTTTAAAATTTATTTTCAAACCAGGATCTGACAAAGCTGTAAGGTCATACAAACATCCTTCTGAAATTTTTCCTTTGAACTCGCTACAATCAACCAGTTGCCTATATAAGGGGAAATGTTTATTCCCCTCACTGAGATATGCTGCAACACAGGCCACACACATGATAAAAACTCTGGGCACTACTGAAAGGCAAAAAGGAAACACTCTGAATTAGTAAATTTGATAACCAATAGCAAAGCAGAGGAACTATGATGGTTCAGTACTATAGCTATATGGAAATACATGTCGTTGAGATCTATTACTGCAATTCCCCTGTTTAAATAGTGGGATGATGTTTGACAGAGTCACCATTTTGAATCTTTTGTTGGTGATGAAGGTATTTATGTCTTCTAAATCCAAAATCACACATAAACCTCAATCTTTTTTTTGGTACAATTATCTAGTGGGAGTAGAACCTGTAGTTTAGGTATTTCCATGGGGCTTGTGCATTCTTTCCAGAAGAGTTGAGACTTCCTCCTCGAGAACCTTTGATGGTATTGTTGATAGGTGCCAATTGGTGGTATTATTTCAAATTCAATGGAATAAGCAAGGGCTATGATGGGGCTAGTATACCTCAATGTTCGTTGGTGATTGAGTGTCACCAACATTAAAGATGTTAAAGAAGAATTGAAAAATTCAGCATTTTGCAATTTTAAAATCTGCTGGGGTTTGCTGTCAGTCTTGTATATGTTCCAGTGAAAATGTATTTTTGTGTTTTTGTCATTCTCTCTTTTTCAAGGACGATGTTGCTTTTTTCATGATTGATGTTTATAGAACCTGAAAGATTATTGTGAAGAAAGTTTGTTTTTCTGCAGATTCCCCTCTCTTATCCAACATATTCTGAACTGTTTTTGAGAATACTGCTGAGTAAACTCCATGTGTTTTGTCACATTTCACTTTTTATATTGTCTTCCATGATGTCAGTTGTCTTAGTGGTAAAAAGACCTTCTTCATCAAATGGTGGATCTTTGATACAGCTCCTGGATTCATCTAGAATGCCTGAAGATCTCAACCAGGCATACCTATGTAGCATTGCAGACATATTCTTTGCAGCACAGTCCTGGAGTGTCTTCTGGCATGGATGTGTTGAGTGGCATGACATTGTTAAAATGTCATGGCTAGTGTCCATTTGTCTTCTGGCAAGCTTTGTATGAGTGGTTGCATTTTGTCCTGTATAAGTGATGGTAGGCTCCCATCACAACCTGATAGGTGGCTATTTTTATTCCCAGAAGAGAAGTTGAGTAAATACGCTTTCCAATCAGATCTATTTTTCATTCTTCCTTATTTATAGGAGTTGAATGAGGTTTATCTTTAGACCTGGCTTGGGAGGCTTCAACAGTTATCGAAGTTGGCTTGGGATGCTTGAATGGAAAGAATGCTTGACTTTATACAAGTTTCTTTACTCTTTAAGTGTGGATGATTGGGATCCGCTTCTCTTCGGTATTGATGCAGGTGAGTCAGATCTTGGCATCAACTATTTCCTTAACATTGAAGCTTTCTATGCTGATGGTTTTTGGCTCAGTATCACTGAGGGAGATCTCGATTGGGCCATTTGCTGAAAGAGGTTCTGAAAATCTCTCAAGCCCAGTGGTCACTGTAATGAGGCATCAGAGACTGCCACTCAGCACCTGCATAGAAAGATGACAGGGCCAAAAATGGTTCTCTCTAGAAGGAGACCTTGAACATCTCCTCTTAGTTGCATCTCTCCAAGTAGTTGGCAATCTCGAAAACAATCAAGATCAGTGTGCTGAGGCTTGGTGTCTTTTTGGTTCCACATGATAGCCAGATTCAATAATAGCTTTTTCCACATCAGATGAACTGATGATTGACATAATGAAGAAAAGGTATAGGAGTTGTCCTTTGTGACTTTTGAACCTTATTCCTCGAGGGGCCTTCCTCTTCTTCAAATATTGATTTAAGACAGATAGTGTCTGCAGTGTCTTCATTTCAGAATTGAGATGCGTGAATTACCATTGATGACAGTTGTCTCTTGTCTTTTTTGTTTGCTTTCTTAGATTTCAAAAACATAGGCTTCAATGTCTTCTTGGCACTGAGTCTTTAGATCTGTCTTCATGGGTGGTCTATCATCTTTAATAACTACAGTATCTCCATTAGGTGATTCTAGATGTTAATTTACAGATAGTGGGAGTTGCTGTTGAGGTCTTTATATGTGGCATCAGTGGCCTTAAGCGATTGTTCCCATATGTGGAATTTCAGCCTTGACTGTCTGTTCTTAAGGGCAATTTTTGTAAAGTATTGACAAATTTTAAAATTTGGGGTATGATCAACATTCCAACATGTGCTCACCCAGAGGTCCATCAGGGCTGTGCTGGCAGCTGGTCTGTTAACTTCCCATTTCGGATGAACCCCCTTGCCCACCCCCACATGCATAGAACACGGCTCCAGCCCAGGGGGACAGAAAATTAGAGGGAACATTGGGTATGGTGATCCTCGCCCAGGAAGCAGAGGCATTTCTTGTGGCTGTCTGTCAGTGGTATCATGAGAATAGTCTTTAGAGGGAACTGAGAAATGACAATTGAGTGAAGTTGGTATACTGGCTGAAGAGAGTGGTTCAAAGCTCTAAAATGTTCTTGAGATGTCTGTGCAGGCACCACAGAGGTATTTGTATGTATGAATCACAGAGACCATGAAGAAGAAACGAGAAACACTAGTTTCTTTTTATATATCCTGTTTCCCTATTATCCTCTTCTGCTCCACTGTAGGGTTTCACAGAACAGGAAAGGGATCCTCTCTTCTAAGAACAGCTGAGTATAGTTATAGCTCTTACAAAATATAGTATTTCAACGATTTTCATTTTTACCTCTCGTTTAACAATGGCTTTCTTGCAGATAGGACACAGAGGACCATTCCGGGAAAAGCGCAGAGGAAGCCGACGGGTACGATACTGGCACGTCTGCTCTTCGCATCTCAGCCAACACTAAAAAGGGAAATAGTACAATGGTTTAAGAAAAGCATTTGTTATCAAACTTTCTCCAGTTCAAACTGACTTATACCATGGTTTCCCGAAAATAAGACAGTGTCTTATATTAAATTTTGCTCCAAAAATGCATTAGGGCTTATTTTCAGGGGACATTTTTTTTAATTTTATTTTCATGTACAACAATCTACATTTATTCAAATACAGTCACAACATCTTCTGGTTGCTGCACAATGGTGGAGGGCAGGGTTTCACTTAACTGGGGCTTATTTTGGGGGTAGGGCTTATATTACGAGCATCCTGAAAAATCATAGTAGGGCTTATTTTCACGTTAGGTCTTATTTTCAGGGAAACAGGGTACACGATTTGGTGCACTGCCCATTATAAACCAACTTTATTGTAGAGCTGGATGAGTAGGCATTTGATCAATGAAACCAGGCAACAGTGCAAAAATGTGGGTTGCTAAAGAAAGCAAGAAGCTGCTGCAGTGCTTCCTAATAGTTAAGACTCTCACTGCCCTTTAAGCTCTGCAGTACCTCCCAAAGAACTATGACTGCCAGGAAGTAGCATAACAGATTCCTTTTAATATTTAAAAAGAGCAAGAAGCAAGGCCCAAAACAGCTATACAACTTTGGAGATACACCATGGTCCAAGTGAGCGAAAAGTAGGTGTCTGCTGGTGTGGGTTTGTGGGCTGGACCTCACAGTTTTGTGCCTGGAGAATTTCTGGAGCATTATGGGAGCTGAACTCCAAAAACATATCACGCCTAGTTTGCCTGTCTGTCAGATGATTGCCTGAGATTGTCTGCATCAACTATTTTATCCACTGCTCCTTAAGGCAAAACACAAATTAATCTGAAAAAATTTTTCTCCTCATCATTGGAGATTTCCTCAGCTTTGTAGCCCTCCCCCCCCCAAAAAAAAAACAAACACAAATTAATCTGAAAGAATGTTCTCCTCATCACTGGAGATTTCCTCACCTTTTGTAGCCCTCCCCCCCAAAACAACTGGCACATCAGTACCCACCATAATTAGCATTTAGGATGCCTCAGTTTAAACAGAAATTTGCAAACCAAATCAAATCATTATGGCACAAACTCTCATGGACTAACATGATTCATGAGACAATATGCAGGTAACATACAATGCACTGGATCCAAAATTTGCTGCCAATGAGCAGAACAGTTTCCTCTATGCATGGAAGTCTTCTGATTTAATGGTAGTGTTTCCTGAGAGAAAAGAGTAGGGAAGAGACTGCCGATTCCCATCTCTTTTCACTCCCCAGTGAAATTCAGACAGACTTTTTTTTTTAATAATTTATATCCCGCCTATCTGGGCTATAAGTCCACTCTAGGCGGCTTCCAGCATATAATAAGAATAAAATACAATTAAAAAACAAAATGTGCATAAACATAAATAATAATTACAATCACAGCAGATAAAAAGGAATATAAGCTTGCTACCTTCTGCTGTGTAACTGAGGCCTAACATTAAATTAAATTGCAAATTTCCCTGCATCTTCTTTTAGCTTCCTAAAAGAAAAAGGGTCCAATAAATGTGAAAGTAGATGTCCAGGTTTTGGCATGTGACAGACCATGGTTGTTTCAGCAGGAGACAGTTGGCTACTGGAGTTTCCATGCCTCTGCTCTAATAAGTATTGTCAAAATGATCCAAAATTCAATATTTATCAATCTTTTAGTAAATAAAATCTAATACATATTATTTCTCTAAGTTCCAATCTAACATTAGTAATGAATGAACTATGTTATAACATACTTGTTAAAAGTTACAAATTAAAAATGCCTTCTATATTTGTAGGACTGATTTATACTATCAGCATCATGAGAAGACCAACTAAGTACAAAAAGAGAGAGGTTAAACTGCTGCTTCAGGGGTTATCAACTACCAGTCCGTGGCCCAGTGCCGGTCCGTGGGCTTGCCGGAACTGGGCTGCAGATATGGATCTCCGCCCCCCCCGCAGGGTGGGCATGTCAGGCTCACAGCAGGGGTGCCACACTTGTGTGCATGCCCTACGAGCACGACATGCTCCTGCACAAGCGCGACACCCCCCCCACACACACACATGGAGTTTGCTCCCCCCAGCCGGTCCCAGCCCAACAAAGGTTGGGGGCCGCTGTGCTACTTCATGCTCCCTGTGCACCTGCTGCTGCTTTCCCACCTTGACTATTTAAAACATGCACATTAATTACCGTATTTTTCGCTCCATAAGACGCACCTTTCCATAAGACGCACCAATTTTTTAGGAGAAGAAAACAGAAAAATATAATCTGTTTTCTTTGCTCCATAAGACGCACAGACTTTCCACCCCCGTTTTGTGGGGAAAAAGTGCGTCTTATGGTGCGAAAAATACGGCATTCCTCCTAGTAAGATTGTACCTATTTTTCCCCTCTCTTTTAAAGCCCAGAGTTCTATGCATGCTTACTCCTAGAAATCTCCTCAACTGAACTCCTGACTAGATATGCCTAGAGAAGGGCTATAAACATTATTGTGTTTGGTTTCTTTTTTTGTTTGAAGTTGAGCAGCACATATTAAAATATCAAGCTGCTTAGCCTGTGTGAAGTCAGAATGTTATTTTGTAAATAGGAACAGGTGAAGGTGTGCAGTAGCATATATTTAAGAACTACAAGATCCCTTCTTTGCTTCACACTTTACTTGTTCTCCAAATATTTGTTCATATGCTGGTTACCAGCTATTTTCATTTACTTCCTTTAGGAACATCCCCCTATACTAAGCATTTTGGGATTCCTTTGTTAAAGCACTTTGTCTCTTCTCAACACCAAAGACTGAACACTTTTAAGACTAACAGACTTATTTGAGAATGAGGATTCGTGGATTACAGTCAATTTCTTTAAAAGCATGGATTAAAGCAGTGGCTCCCAACCTTGGGTAATTTAGGTGTTCTTGGACTGCGACTCCCAGAAGCCTTCGCCACTAGCTGTGTTGGTTGGAGTTCCTGGTAGCTGCAGTCCAAGAATGCCCAGTTTACCCATGCCCGGGAACCACTGGATTAAAGGTTCAGCACTTTGCACAGTGGGAAAACAAATGTATATTGTAGAGTATGGAATCAGAACAAACCAGAACGCAGAAATTTATTATTTTACTCCTGACACTGGCCACAAACAATCAGCATAAACATCCTTATTTGCCAGAAAACAACACATACACTAATTTTGGTAACTGCGAAATAATGATTATTTTTCAGTTTTCAAAGTTGAGAATTCTGAATATTGTTGCCATTTTTTAAAAAATCAAAATGAAATAGGAAAGGCTGGAAGCTTTTCCTCATACTTTTGTACTAGATCAGTATCATATATTTAATACCTTTAGGCCAGAATCCTGCCGGTTATATATGCTAGCGTACGTTCAGTGGTGTAAATTGCAGCAACAAATTGCTGCTAGTTAAGGAGTTGCTTTCTTGTTGAACACCCAATTACACAACTGGCACATAATGAGGAATACAGGCAGCAACTTATTAATTAGCAGAAATTTGCTACTGCAATTTACACCACTGCACTAACACCAGCATATGTCTCCCAAATGCAAGGCCTGTCATAATATTACAGAAGTTTTGCTTGCTTTTTACTTTTTACTGATGAACATTACAAAAAAGCTTAAATTGCTTTCTTAGCATTCCTTTCCTAATAGAGAAATATAAATTTTATGCTGCTGAAAAAGTTTTACACACAGGAAGTATAACTCCATCATTTATCACAGAGTGTTAAAAGGAATAGAGAGGGGGAGAGGACGCTTGCATGAAATAAAGGTAAATCTAACACCTAGCTATGTTTTTCATACAGACACGAAGTGTCCTTTCAATTCACAGAAAATAATGTAATCTGTCCTGACTTCCCAGCAATTATAATTAACATTAAAACAATCTTTTTTCTTTGTCACCTCTTCATTCAGTTCTTATTTGTGTCTATTTGTACTTAGTATCAGTTAATCACTTTATATAATGATAACAAGAACAGGTGTTATTATGCATGGAAATTGAACATGTAGATAAATGTGTGATCAGTGCTATTTTTTTTTATTAAAAAAACAACCATATCAGAAATATGTAGCTCTTTATGTCTCTTGTTTTGATTTTATAATTAAGCTTCTGGTCTTGATTTGCTTTAAATAAAACTTTTATCAAACTCAACATATGTAATGCTTCAAATGACTGAAGTGCATTATTGTTAAGCCAGTTTTGATTAATATCAATTGTTCTTGACAACTACAGAAAGCTGGTTCTTTATTTCCTTGATTATAACTACTATAACCAAAGAATTTTGCAAAATTCATTAAAACAAATATGCTTTGCACCTGGATTAGCATAAAATACACCAATGAGGTTTAAATAAAACTCATGGGATTACAACTAATGAAACGGTATTCTAGTTCTAAGCAGTTCACTAACAAAAGCACACAGCAATAAGTTTATCAGTTAATACAGATACATTATAAAATGCTGATAGTTCACTAATTAAATTATGGAATTGGATCAAAAAGGAGAATTCAATTTTGAACCCATTACTTGAAGACAATTAAGCCGGCTTCTGATCCCAGCTTCTTTGTAAGCTTCCTGGGTGCCATAATTCATCTACAGTAAGGCTTTAATTTCCAGGAAGTACCACAGCAGTTTCCTCTTTTGTAAATTAAGAACAAAACCAAGGTCTGAGACAGCTATGGAGTACTAAAGATAGGTTCTAGTCCAGGTGAGCAACATGTAGGTTTCTGTAGGTGTGAATTTGTGGGCTTTCTCTTTCCTGCTTCCTTCAAATTCTATTCCCTGGGATGCAAGACTATACATAGCATTCGGTTAGTGGCAACTCAATACAGAGTACATTGATCACTCTTCTGAAAGAAGTGACATAAGAGTTATCCATCGTCTCCTAATGGATTATTTCAGTACAGATGCCAGAACTTACCCTGGGGCCTTCTGTATGCTTTGCCACTGAGTTACATCATTTAGAATAAAGAGAAGGAAGCAACTTA